TGGGATAAGCTACCCCAGCGGGTCGAAGGCCTCGCCCTCCGGGAGGTCGTCCATTGCTCGAACCTGGTAAGGCTCGTCCTTCATACCCGCAGGAAGGCGGCAGAGTTTGCGAACGGAAGGCTATTGAGGGGCCTTCCCTGCCCCTCCCCTACTAGGGCAGGCCTCACCTCGCCCGAGGCGCCTCCCCGCACGATCGGCCGGTTCAGTAGTGGCTCCTCCCGACTGGGCTGCTGTTGCATCAGATCCCTTCGCGACACAGGTCTTTGCTTTCTTCTAAGTTCGACCGGCCTCGACCTCCACCAGAGCATCTTTCGAGCTGATCCTCGGTTTGGTTGGTGGGCGCAAGGATGAAACCGATGAAGCTCACCCCCCGCGCATGGACCTAAGATTCACCATCTCTGCGCGAAAACGTGGGCATCGGTCAGTATTCTGAATGATTCATAAAGACCCTAAACCACCCACTATGGGCATACCTCGAGGCATCGAGCTAAGACCCGCCTTAATCAACCACTGCTTAGTCATGTTCCGGATGGCTCCGGAGGCGGGAAGGATCTCCTTAAGCCTCCGGAGGTCCCTGTGCTCATCGTCGTTCAGAACCGGGGCAGTATTATCGATCATGCATGCCGACCACCGAGCCCAAAACTCCAGCCCCTTGGGTAGCAAATGTAAAAGAAACGCCCCTTCCATCCTTTGTTGCTAGAAGGGGCCCCGCTAACCCGGAAGCCCAACCGGGCTGACAGATAATAACCCCCAGACCCCTTGGAAAGACGGAAATAAGACAGTAAAAGGGACCGAGTCAGCATAATATTGGCATAATGACACTCCCCCAAGAATGCCACTAGATAGCACTAGGAGTTCGGCGCCATCTATGACGGGGAAATGCGCCACCAGGAAATGTAGGAGATAATCACAGGGTGCAAAGGGAAACATAGTCCTGCCTCGAGGGCATCCAGGGTTAAGGCAAAACCCTTGGGGATCGGGTCGTACGCTCGTTGCCCTGGCTTGGGGGCAAGAAGAACATAGCCCTCCGGGATGCTGTAGCACTCCCGAAGGTTGCCGAGCGACAACTTTCTCACTGTGGAGTCGAGGTCGTGTGGCCACATCAGGGCTTCAAGGGCCCAAGCCACCTTCTCGTCGGATGACAAGTTGGGACTCGGCGGCAATGTTTTTTCCCCAACCTTACTAGAGGAGGAAGGAGAAGAGGGTAAAGTCGAGGAGGAAGGGGAGGCCATCCTTACTGACCTTTGGAAGGTGAGGTAGGAGGGCCGACTCGAACGGAAGCGACGGGGTCCAGAAGGAGCGACTCAACGAATGCCCAGTAGGAGGCGTGCGGGAAACCAACTACGTGCTATTTATAGGAAGGATCCTACTAGCAGCGACCCTTCGCTTCATGGGGAGTGGGCGACAGCCCATCGGTGCCTTTCCCGCAAAGCACGCAGCATCAAGCAGGCCAAACGTCACCCCGCCATAAATGAGGCCTGACATGGCAGCCAAAGGGCACGCGGAGCGAATGTCGAGGCATGGTCTTCACGATTTCGACTCCCGAGAGCCGGCAACTCCACTCGAGGGATAACCTCCTAGGCTCCCGTGCAAACGAAGATGTACTTGGCCACCCGCGTTCACCGATTGCTGCTCCAAGCAACTGCTCAACCGTAGTCTATCCGAGTCCACCACTATGCGGCTTGGCCGCCTGAGCCATGCCCCTCGACGCAGTCTGCTCGAGTCCACCTCTGTGCGGCCTGCCCGCTTGAGCCGTATCCCTAAGTGTAGTTTGCCCGAGTCCACCTCTATGTGGCCTGCCCGCTTGAGCCATGCCCCTCGGTGCAGTCTGCCCGAGTCCACCTCTGCGCGGCCCGCCCGCCTGAGCCGTGCCCCGCGGCGTAGTCTGCTTGAGTCCACCTCTGCGTGGCCCACCCGCCTGAGCCGTACCCCTCAGCGTAGTCTGCCTGAGTCCACCTCTGCGCGGCCCGCCCGCCTGAGCCGTACCCTACGGCGCATCCTGCCCGAGTCCACCTCTGCGCGACCTACCCGCTTGAGCCGTGCCCCTCGGCACAGCCTGTCCGAGTCTACCCCTGCACAACCCACCCGCCTGAGCCATGCCCCTCAGCACAATCTGCCCGATTCCGCCTCTACGCGGCCTGCCCGCTTGAGCCGCGCCCCTCGGCCGCAGTCTGCCCGAGTCCAACTCTGCGCGACCTGCCCACCTGAGCCGCGCCCGCATATGAGCCGCATACCTCGGCTGTAAATTTCATGATTCCTACACCTCAGCACCGCCTGCCCCCCCAAGTCTACTGCCTTGACCAAGTCATACCCCACGGTCAAGCGTCGCACAGGACGACGGGCCAACAACTGACCATCATGACCCCCTAGGAAACCTTCCCAGCACTAACCAGAGAGCAAACCGATAAGAACAATCACTTAAAGCAGATGAGGGTAATAATAATGACGGGACACAAACTAACGTCACCTTCTCCCGGGTGACGTCTCTTGGGTCACGCAGACCGAGGAGCTACGGGGGTCGCCTGCCTCGGTCTGACTTGACAGTGCCTGGCCGAAGCAGACCAAAACGTCGATCGAGGCACATCGCCATCCTGTAGGAGCCTGGTCCTTCATGCCACGCCAATGCCTGTGTCAAACGTTATCTAAGGTACGATCCTGCTCCCTACAACCGTGCACATCAGGAAACATTGACCTTCCCTATAAAAACCCTCGCGTTCGGAACAATGGGGGGGGGGGGACAACAAATCCCTGAGATTGTCAACTAACTTGATCGTCGGAGGGGTCGGGCCGAGCTCTCCCGACCCGACTATGTGTAGGTATGAAGACGGAGTACCTCCCACCGAACGCCCAAGCGAGGGGTCCCCCTCACGGAGAAAACAGTGACCCCGTCGAGATCGGACTACCGCGATCGACTACCTCAACAGCCTCAAGGGTCGTTCAGGAAGATCTCCAATCATTCAGACCCGAACCCAACCGTGTTGGCCCGAGGCCACAGTGCAAAGATGTTGACACTAACAAGGAGAACCTCGAGAGGCTCTTAAATCTACACAGGTTTCAGATAGGAAAGGACTAAAGGAGACGAAGAGGGGGAGGAACTGATCGCCATTTGTTCAAGAAGCGTGAAGCGCGAAGCTTTCTTGGGATCGATGGACCACCAACGAGAAGACGAAAGAGCGAAGTCTTCTTAGGGTTCATAGCGTTCACAGCCTCGAGGGCGCGCGTGATTTCCTCTATCTAGGGTTTTAATCCATTGCGTTCGACGACCACAGGCCTGAACCGGAACAAAAGACCAGGTCAGTAAGTGGGTTTAGCCATCAAAAATAACCCATTAAATATAAAGAACAAAATTATAGACATTATATATATATATATATATATATATATATATTATATATTATATCGATAACGATATCTGCATATTAAAAAAGTTAATTAAGTACGACACTGAAAAGAAAACAGAAGCTAAAATTGTAATCCAAATCCAACAAGGCAATAACATAAACCATGTTGTCATATCATTATAATTGATTTCCACAGGCTGAGTGAGCTCCTTGGAAGAGTACATAAAAGTCCTCGTCTTCGAGCAACATCTGAGGCACACTCACTCCATGACTGCTATTATCATCTACGAAACATAATGCATGTTTACCTTGAAATAGAGCAGCAAACCCGATAAGGAGGTAGACTAGTTGTGCGTCATGTCAGGGTACTCGACAGTTGACTGATTTATCAGGCTGCATTCCATAACCATGGTTATGGTAGGATCGTCACAGGGCGATTGTGATGAAAAAAAGGAAGACGAACTGTTCCCTCATCTGGTGAGTTGACTGATGAACAGCACAAAGGACAAGAACTTGATGACCTTCATGTTAAGATTGCAGTCGTTGTACTACGCACCGTAATGCTAATGCAGGAGTAATTTAAATTATTTTTTATTTAAATAAATTAGATTAATTTAGAAAAAAAATATTTTTATATTATATAAAATAAGTTATCAACAAAGCCTACTCAATAAAGAAAAGAAGAAAGTAAATATAGAAAAATAAAGAAAATCAGATTCGATGTTGATTGAAGATTTAAGATTTTAAAAATTCATCCACGAAAGTCCATCAATCAAAAATATTATCAACAAGGAAATAAGATAATCTTTTAAGTCAAGTTAAGAATCTTAAGATCATATATTTGATTCAATACAATTATAATTATTTTTGTATATCTTGTAAGAGAGGTTAGAATATTATACTTGGATCGATAAGAACATGAATCAGTGAATTGAGTTCATCTAGCAAGAAGCGCGAGACTTTCATATGAGGGTTCATTCCTTGAGTCAGAGCTGGGAGTCTTCGTGTAATGCCTTCATCTTGTGAATTCGCAAAGTTTGATAATTATCCAGTTCTCTTTACTATTATATTCAAGTAATTATATTTTCATTCCTCTATTTTGAAAAAGAGATTTAGTTGCTGCTACTCATCCGTCAAATGCCTTTTTAAGCAGCAGTAATCTGTCTCTGACTGATATAGAACTCAACCGGGGTTTTCAGTGCCAAACATTAGAAAGATACATCTCACCAACCCTTAAATGGAAGACAAATAACATGTCTATCACTTAGTGTCATTTAATGGACACAGGCTCGTACTCATTGGGACTAAAACTTTTGTCTTGTAGAGATGATTTCTAATGCAACCCTGCACAAACGCCAAGCTATCAACGTTAACGCTATAAATGATCTGAAACCTCACCATGTACATGCTGTTGTTATGTATGTTAAGCTCAAGTTTATTACTGTTTAAAATGACAAACACGTTCACAAACGCCTTCCAGTTTTACTTTGGCAACTATCTCGCATGCAGTACAGTAAAGGACATATATGGCTTATAGAGAGGTAGTGGGGTAGGGTGACATGTTTACTTATGGTGGGATGTGCAGGATATTAGGGTTTGGATCGTTGCAGGATAAATAATCTCATATTTACGTGCAAGCTGTCCTTGCTATGCCCTCGATTTAAGCATATAGAAAGATTTCACATTTATACAGATAGAAAGCAAAGTAGAACAGCGATGCTTTCAGCCACAAAGCCCACAGCTAGCGGTGAGAGACATCATTTCATGCCTCTCCAACCTTACAATTCTAACCATAAATCATATCTAGAATTCAAGTAGTAGCCCTGCTTGATAAGATTAAGATTGCAACAAATTAGATACATGTTTATCTTCACAGTTTACACCAGCTACTGCCCTCCACGTTGTTTCCGACGGCTAGCCTTTGCAGGGATGATTCGGATTCTCTTGGCTACGCGAACAAAATCCCTGAAAGAATCCGAAGAAAGGAATGAATGGTCACGACCATGTTTACAGAGAAAGAACTAAAATGATTCGCTGACTCACTTCCAGTTTAGATCACCTGCGAGGAGCAGGTCGTCCTCCATGTCCTCATAGGCCACCACGTGACCAGGTACGGCATTGGAGAGTTGGAGCTCCTTGCCACCGCCCTCACCGTGCTCATCGCCCTCGTCGACATCGACGAAAATGCGGCGCAAAGCCTTCGCTAGGCTCTCATAGCTTGTGTGCTTGTCGAGGCAGACGCGATGGCAGATCGAACGCCCCTCCAGGAAGACAGTGACAGGGGGGACGACCGATGCCGCCGCATCGAGGTCCATGGCCGAGAGAGTCAAAAGCTTCCTGCCGATGGGAGGCCGAGGAGGTTGCGCAGGCGCTGCGGTCGCACCTACGTCACCGCATCGTTGGTGAAAGTGAGCGGCGCCGTGGTTCAGGCACCCTTTCTCGTCCCACCGCCGCTTTAGCGCTCCATGGTGCAACGCAACCCCGTTCAGCATCTTCACTGCACCGATCGAAGCTCCACTGTCTAAACAAGTATGTGCAACTGCCGCACTGTCCAAAGAAGAATAAAGGGTGTGAATTGAATGCTTATATCGCTTTCTGGTGAGGATTTGGTGAGAAATATTGCTTTAGAAGGTAGAGAGACAGAGAGAGAAAGTGAGTGTGAAGGTATGGTTCAGGCCACGCTCTCGTTTTATAAGGGGGAAGAGCCCAAAGCACTAGGCATAGCTGTGGTTGCTTGCAAGTGAGAAAGTAAGAAGACAGCGTTGCTGCTGCTGTTGTTTTCAGCATGGTGAGGGCTTGTGGGAGAAGTGGACGGTGTTTGTAGAGTGTTCTTTTGGGGATCACAGGGAACGCGTGGAAGAAACGTTGGTGCCCTTCTTGTAATCCGTGGTGGGTTTGTTGCAACCGCGGCCGCTGCGGCCGCCGAACGGCTCGCCGTTTGACTCTCTTACTGTCCTCGGGGCGGCCACTTGGGCCTCTCTTCCTCATGTGATCTTGTCATCGTTGTCTTGCCCCTATAGATGTGACCTCTGCGTGTACATACAGCGTGGTGCAAGCATTTACCTCGTTGCTGCAGTGGCCGAGCCGAATCTGCGCATTCATCCACAATTCCACAATGTAAAGGGCAGCACCTGTGTCGCCGTGCTACTTGTTTCGTTCTCGAGGATGGAGACTGTACCCATGAAGCAGCAGGTCATGCCGCTGCATGTGTCCAGCCCAGTTCCAGCTGGGAGTAATGAGCTCGAGAGTGACAGAACAGAACGGCGGTGAAAGGAGAGACCGACGAGACGGGACCGCACGCTCGGCCCTTGTCATGGTTCTCCCCGGGATTCGAGAACGTTGTCTGCTGTTGCTGAAAACCTTGGCAAGTGCTGCTCCGTTCGACAAACCTCGAGATCCGTAGGAGTTGACAGCCACGCACGTAGCTCATAGTGCAGTGTGCAAAAGTGGCTCCGAGATCAATCTGCTCGTCTCTAACTAGTCAAAGCTTTTCCGTTCATTACTGTAACTATGAGATTTACATATGACGTCGTGCTCTAAATCCCAGATTTACTGACTAGTTATGACCTTAAGCCAATTGCAGTCTGACATGTGTCCTCCTAGTGAATCTTAATCGGATAGGAAATAGAGCCCTAATGAAATCTCGGGATCGTAGTTCTGACAAAAACCAAAATTTTGTATTCTGATAGAATTTACAAGTACCAACCTGCAATTTTCCATTGGAAGTTCATGAAAGTTTAGGTTGAATTTAATACTTAATTAGTCTCACATCGATCAATTTTATGTTTAGATCCATAATTTAGTTCGAACGTAACTGATAGAATAGTTAATCCGTCAGGCTCAGATAGTAACATTCTATGAATACTGTTTGAATTTAATCCCTAAGTTTTTGGATGATTGATAATAAAAATATGCAACTAAGTGAAGTTTATTATATTAATCAAGGGTTATGGGATTTTTTTTCTTTTTTTTTACAAAGTATAAGATAAAACAAAGCCTATTAGGTATAATAATTCTCTATATTGAACTATAACTCTAAGAAATCAACATTTTTATGATTAAGATATCCTAATTCTCTATAATAAGATGCGAAGATAAATCTTTATGAATTAAGCCTCCAAATATTATGAATGGAAGATTAATCTTAACTCCTTTGCCATCTTGAACATACATAAATGCATGTCAACACTCTGCACATACATCCCAAGCGTACCTTGTCGAGCGATACGTCCCCACAGAGTCAAACTGTGCGTGACGAGAACCCATAGTAAATGGTAGTTGACTTTTGGAGCAGATCCTTAATTCCAGGATTAATAGTTATGTGGCCCGAGATCGACGGATCTAATCTCAAGATCCGGTATAATATCGATGGCATAGATGGTCAGGATGATTCAGGAGAGGCTGTCGCAGATTCTATTTGTTACGTTACGTTTACTGATGAGTTAAGAGGATGACATAAAACAGCACGCCATGGCGGAGACTGGGTGAGTGCTGTAGACACATCGTCGTATTTGGGCTTCCAACACCGAAATGGAGAAGCGTCACTTGCCTGCCCCGAAGTTTCAGCCTTCATGTGCGTCCTCAAGGAGGACGACGACACGTACGTTGGAGAAGATTTAAGGGGGGATATGTTTTCAAGTCTTGGGATCACTTTCTTTTGGGCTGCTGCTCAAGAAAGAAGCAATGCTGGTTTGCAGGTATCTTCGAATTCCACAAATGTGGGCAAGAAGAAAAGGAATAATACAAATTATTATAATATATTAATATTTATTAAATTTATTGAGTATGAACCAGACCTAATCCCAACTCGATTCAATTCAGAATTGAACTAAAATAAGAACCGACTTGATAATTCATCGATTCCAAATTGAATCGAAACTAATCTTGGGCAACTATTTAGATCTATTAGATATGAACCGATGATTTTATTCACAAACTATTTAGAACTATTTAGATCGATCATTTGAACCCCAATAGTCCGCTCGATCGTCAGGGGTATAGAGGGGCAAGTGATAGTTTGTCCTTTTCAATAATCATATAAATAATTTTTAAAACATATTTTGATTATTTTATAATTAAATAAAATAAAAAATGATAAATTTACCACTTCTAACGATTAGCTTTGAGGATATTTTAGATAAAAATCTTATAAATATCCCGATCCCTTATTTTTTTTCTCACATAATTAATGCACTCATGATAGTCTAATAACCTCTCTTTGGATCTAATTTTAATCTTTCTAACAATAAGTTTTCAGAATTTTTAATTTTTGAATGATGGACCGACATATAATAATATTTTTAATCTTATCAATAATTGTAAGATAAATAATAACTTATTTATCTTATTAATCGCTGGTGTGGAGTGAGCTTTCACCATGAATGCATCCTCAGCCTAGGACTAAAAGTATTAAGTGACTATTGTTTTTGTTAACGTAAGGGAACGGAGTGAACATGATATAACTAATAATGGTTCTCCTATGTGTATATATACATGAGTTTCACAAGAGAGCATGAGTCATGGAAGAGTTAAATGGAATGTTTATAGGAAAAATATTATCTTTAATAAATTTTCGTAGAGTATCTTAATTTTTAAAATTTTTATAGAGTATTTTTTATAAATAATTATTTTACTCTTAGTTCTCGTTAGATCTATCGTCTATACCCTTATGTAGTAGTCAAGTATAGTAAATCCATCATACCCTCCTTTCTGTGTGAGGGATATCGTATCCCTCACACAGAGGGATGAGACAAGTTCAATTGGACCGAGAGTAGTAGAGGTGACGATGAATTTAATAGAGATATAGATAAATTAATTTTTTTTTCAGAGAGACGTGCTTTGTAAAAAAATTTTAAAGTTAAAACAATTTGTAAAAATTTAACAAAGATAGAATTTTTTTTTTTCAGAATTGGCCCATATATATATATATATATATATATATATATATATATATATATATATATATATATATATATATATATA